GCCCCAGGCCGAGGGAGATTGACAGTTATTTTGTGTTTCTTCCATTTGCGAATAATCGCACCAACTGTTGTCACCTTCTCACCAAGCTGCTTGGCGATGGTCTTGTAGCCCATTCCAGCCTTGTGTAGGTCTACAATCTTGTCCCTGACATCCTTGGAGAGCTCTTTGGTCTTGGCCATGGTGGAGAGTTTGGAATCTGATTGATTGATTGCTTCTGTGGACAGGTGTCTTTTATACAGGTAACAAGCTGAGATTAGGAGCACTTTCTTTAAGAGTGTGCTCCTAATCTCAGCTCGTTACCTGTATAAAATACACCTTGGAGCCAGAAATCTTTCTGATTGAGAGGGGATCAAATACTTATTTCCCTCATTAAAATGCAAATCAATTTATAACATTTTTGACATGTGTTTTTCTGGATGTTGTTGTTGTTATTCTGTCCAAATATACCTACCATTACAATTATAGACTGATCATTTCTTTGTCAGTGGGCAAACGTACAAAATCAGCATGGGATCAAATCCTTTTTTCCCTCACTGTATGTGCTTAACACTGACGCCCTGGAACACGTCACGAGTTCAGGATGCACACATAGCAACTGAGACACAAAAATATCCTCTGAGACCAATAACAGAAAAAAAAAAACCAATAAGAAAGAGAGTTAAACCTCTCTGCCAATAACAGCTAGTTTTCAGTTTTCCCACTCAGACCATTCCCTGAGAAATTGCTCTTTGCTAAGAAGCTATTTTTATTTTTTTTACCATTTGGACTGAAAACAATCACAGTTTGGTACATAATTGTTACCCAGAAATTATTTAATATTTAGATAAAAATGGCTGCATTGGACCTTTAACATTAGGAATTAAACAGATTTCTAGTGAAAACCATAATGGAAGGGCCACCAATTTTGGGGACAGTACCATCACCTACAAACCCCAATTTGAACTCTAAATGAGACAGATTATACCTGAAAAATGCAGTATTGGAGGAAGCACAAACAGATAGACTATACTTTTTTTCATATCTGCAAGAACTAAACATATATAGTACCAGTCAAAAGTTTGGACAGGCCTACTCATTCAAGGGTTTTTCTTTATTTTTACTATTTTCTACATTGTAGAATAATAGTGAAGACATCAAAACTATGAAATAACACATATGGAATCATGTAGTAACCAAAAAAGTGTTAAACAAAATATATTTTATATTTGAGATTCTTCAAATAGCCACCCTTTGCCTTGATGACAGCTTTGCACACTTTTGGCATTCTCTCAACCAGCTTCACCTGGAATGCTTTTACAACAGTCTTGAAGGAGTTCCCACATATGCTGAGCACTTGTTGGCTGCTTTTCCTTCACTCTGTTCTTCTTATTGATGTCCTTTAGTAGTGGTTTCTTTGCTGCAATTCGACCATGAAGGCCTGATTCACACAGTCCCCTCTGAACAGTTGCTGTTGAGATTTGTCTGTGACTTGAACTATGTGAAGCATTTATTTGGGTTGCAATTTCTGAGGCTGGTAACTCTAATGAACTTATCTTCTGCAGCAGAGGTAACTCTGGGTCTTCCATTCCTGTGGCGGTCCTCATGATAGCCAGTTTCATCATAGCGCTTGATGGTTTTTGCGACTGCACTTGAAGAAACTACGAAATGTTCCGTATTGACTGACCTTCATTTCTTAAAGTAATGATGGACTGTCGTTTCTCTTTGCTTATTTGAGCTGTTCTTGCCATAATATGGACTTTTACCAAACAGGGCTATCTTCTGTATACCCCCCCTACCTTGTCACAACACAACTGATTGGCTCAAACGCATTAAGAAGGAAAGAAATTCCACAAATTAACTTTTAAGAAGCCACACCTGTTCATTGAAATGCATTCCAGGTGACTACCTCATGAAGCTGGTTGAGAGAATGCCAAGAGTGTGCAAAGCTGTCATCAAGGCAAAGGGTGTCTATTTGAAGAATCTCAAATATAAAATATATTTAGATTTGTTTAACACTTTTCTGGTTACTACAGTCATGGTCAAAGTTTTGAGAATGACACAAATACTAACTTTCACAAAGTCTGCTGCCTCAGTTTTGATGATGGCAATTTGCATATACTCCAGAATGTCATGAAGAGTGATTAGATGAATTGCAATTCATTGCAAAGTCCCTCTTTGCCATGAAAATGAACTTAAGCCCCAAAAAACATTTCCACTGCATTTCAGCCCTGGCACAAAAGGACCAGCTGCCATCATGTCAGTGATTCTCTTGTTAACACAGGTGGGAGTGTTGACGAGGACAAGGCTAGAGATCCCTCTGTCATGCTGATTGAGTTAGAATAACAGACTGGAATCTTTAAAAGGAGGGTGGTGCTTGAAATCATTGTTCTTCCTCTGTTAACCATGGTTACCTGCAAGGAAACACGTGCCGTCATCATTGCTTTGCACAAAAAGGGCTTCACAGGCAAGGATATTGCTGCTAGTAAGATTGCACCTAAATCAACCATTTTTTGGATCATCAAGAAATTCAAGGAGAGAGGTTCAAATGTTGTGAAGAAGGCGTCAGGGCGCCCAAGAAAGTCCAGCAAGCGCCAGGACCGTCTCGTAAAGTTGATTCAGCTGTGGGATCGGGGCACTACCAGTGCAGAGCTTGCTCAGGAATGGCAGCAGGCAGGTGTGAGTGCATCTGCATGCACAGTGAGGCGAAGACTTTTGGAGGATGGCCTGGTGTCAAGAAGGGCAGCAAAGAAGCCACTTATCTCCAGGAAAAACATCAGGGACAGACTGATATTCTGCAAAAGGTACAGGGATTGGACTGCTGAGGACTGGGGTAAAGTCATTTTCTCTGCTGAATCCCCTTTCCGATTGTTTGGGGCATCCGGAAAACACCTTGTCCGGAGAAGACAAGGTGAGCGCTAACATCAGTCCTGTGTCATGCCAACAGTAAAGCATCCTGAGACCATTCATGTGTGGGGTTGCTTCTCAGCCAAGGGAGTGGGCTCACTCACAATTTTGCCTAAGAACACAGCCATGAATAAAGAATGGTACCAACACATCCTCCGAGAGCAACTTCTCCCAACCATCCAAGAACAGTTCGGTAACGACCAATGCCTTTTCCAGCATGATGGAGCACCTTGCTAATAACTAAGTGGCTCGGGGAACAAAACATCAACATTTTGGGTCCATGGCCAGGAAACTCCCCAGACCTTAATCCCATTGAGAACTTGTGGTCAATCCTCAAGAGGCGGGTGGACAAACAAAAACCCACAAATTCTGACAAACTCCAAGCATTGATTATGCAAGAATGGGCTGCCATCAGTCAGGATGTGGCCCAGAAGTTAATTGACAGCATGCCAGTGCGGATTGCAGAGGTCTTGAAAAAGAAGGGTCAACACTGCAAATATTGACTCTTTGCATAAACGTAATGTAATTGTCAATAAAAGCCATTGACACTTATGGAATGCTTGTAATTATACTTCAGTATACCATAGTAACATCTGACATAAATATATCATAACACTGAAGCAGCGAACTTTGTGAAGACTAATACTTGTGTCATTCTCAAAACTTTTGACCACGACTGTACATTATTCCATATGTGTTATTTCATAGTTTTGATGTCTTCACTATTATTCTACAATGTAGAAAATAGTCAAAATAAAGAAAAAACCTTGAATGAGTAGGTGTGTCCAAACTTTCGACTGGTACTGTAACTTCTGTTCTTCTGAATGAGCAGAACAAAGTTTCAAATCCACATGAGGAACACAAGAGAATAATAGCACACAATTGTCACTAGAGAGCATGGTTAACCGATACACACCTCTATAACAGTGATCATTGTACTGCTCAACTGCCCCTCAAGGGTCATAACCTATTAAAGTCAATTATATAGTGGAGGGTGAACTTTACCCACCACCTTTTTATTTAGTGAATAGGGTGTCCCTACATATTTTTAAGTTGTTGTTTCCCCCTTTTTTTTACCACTACATCCTTGGATCTATAATTTACCTAGCAGTGCATTACCTGTACAAAATATGTCTTTGCCCTTTTGAATAAGTAAATGAGTTGCAATGCCATTTCAACCTAGCGCTATACCACAGATGTCAGTAACTCGACACTTTTGCGCTTTTCTGAGCCGTTTAATAATTGACAGCGCAATCAAGCACAAGTCCAAAAGTCCAGAAAACAAAGTATACAATGTGATAAGATATGATAGCCTATAGGTCAACGTCCATGGTGTTGCAAGTGCAGTAGGCAAGTTAAATATAAAATAACTTGAAGGAATGGTACAGTTTACAGTGAAGGTTTCATTAAATCTAATGGACAGTTTGAATAAAGATTGGTACGAGAAAACGAATTTGCCTTCTATTAGTAGGCCTACGTAGGCATGCTCTGCAATGCGGTAAAAAATAGATCTGCATTTAGAACCAGGACGCATGCGTATGGCACGCTACCAAGGGGCCAAGAGAGAAATTTCTAGAAATAGGCTACAGTAGAGTCCAGCCGTCAGAGGAGGTACTGGAAAATAATCATTCCAACTGTTGTTTTACGAAATCCATACTGGAGCGCTTTTGGAAATAATCGTGTTCTTCCAGTAACAACGCAACGAATTCATCGTTCTGATGTAAACAGGAACAAGTTAATAAAGTCTACCAATACCCTTGTGGATTGTAAAATGTTCGTATTGCCTAAAAAATGCATTTTGTGGAGGAACTACCAAACATATACCATGCCAATTTCCTTAACAACTTCGGTCTTGGTCGACCATGGATTATTTTGAAAATGCGGCACCGTTTTATTATCCACACTTCTTCAAAAGATCATGGAATTAATTAATGGAATAAACAAAGTCCCATGTTGGATGCAGTCAAATAAATCACCTACTGTCAAATAAAATCGGCGCGTATAAACAGTGTCTCAAAACTGCTGTCAAAAGATAGAGGACTGATAAAAATCTGGTCTGTGGGTGCAAGAAATGTGGGATTTAATCGAGGTAACTGCATACAGCAAGGAAAACAGCGCCGAATAGTATTTTCGTGGGAGGCATAATTGACATTTTAGTGTTTAGGTATATTCGATGTAATTATTGTCAATTTATTCATACACATACTTGTCTGAAGACACTCAATAAAAAAACTATCAGAATTCAAACTATTAGATGTTACACTTTCTATGCAGTGAGTTATGGGATTGGTTTGTTCCTCTTTTCTGAAAATAGCCTGTAAAGTCACTTTGTATAACGCCATTTTGTGTGACTTACAAGTGCCAACATTATGCTTCAGCCATTTTGTACAAGCTTCTTTTCAAAATGTGTTGGCATGGTTCACATGAATATAACATAATATGACATAGCCTGCGCTGGAGAGCCTGCCTGTGATGAAATACAATCTAACCAAAGAAAGTCGAGGAAATTGTATACCATAAAATTCCTGTGTTCAGGAGATTATGATCACATCTCTGGTGTCAACTGATACTGTTACAGCAGCTGCTACTGTTACATCAGATGATGTAGCCTTAACCAATGCTTTACACTAAAGCAGCATTTGTTACATTAGTTCAGGGCTGATAAGGTCCCATCTGTGCATTCTAAACATCTTCTGGCTCAATTTTAATGGCAGTGACATTTGAAAACAAAGGCAAGAGCATCATTCCTATCTCCCAAGAGCTCTGCATGGATTTCTATGTGAAATTAACATTATTGCAAGGTACCTTATTGAAAAGGTTAGTAGATGTGTCATAATAAATTTTTATTATTTTCATTATATACTCCCTAGGTATAAAAGTCAACACTGTTGTCAATAATTTATATGATTATAATCATAGAATATAATAATAGACTATTGCTTAAGAAAGATCGACAGCACGAATAGTTTCTTCCCATTACGATTAACTCTGGTGGTCTTTGCCAGGTGTCAGGTGTCTCCTCCGGTTCTCACTTCCCTGGGAATGTCTGGGAACTTCCTCCATATCCTGCATACAAACACACATTTATATTATGTTTTAGAAATTAAAATGACAGAAATATTTACATAGATTGATGAACGTAGGGCAACATGGAATAGCACGGTCAATTGAAGGAGAATCATTCTCACCTGTGTTGTAGCATCCAACAGGTCTCTGGAGGGTATCAGACAGCCAGCCTCACCCAGGAAGCACAGAAGGATATGAAGCACATCTGCCCAGCGGCCGACAGTCAGCATCAGGACCATGAGCCCCCCCAGACGCACCACCACTGTGTTTATAACAGCTTGGCCACTTGGCTGGCGATGTTGCTCCTCTGAGTAGAAAATAATGATCATCAGTTGAACGCTTTCTCAATGAGAATGACAACACTATGCTTGTCATTTACTTGTTTTGTGCTATTTACAAAATACCCAAATAGTATCTGACAATCTGGTGCTTAAACGTTTGCCAATGCAGGATACTGTATGTTCAGTCTCTCACCCTGCATATACACCACCAGCAGTGTGTAGCAGATTGTCAGTGGAGTCCAGAACCTGAGGGCCTCTGTAGCTGAGAGGAAATGTTTGTTGATTATAGATATGGCGGAAATGGCAGCCACTGCAAAGCTGAACATAAGGGCCCTGGTAAGGCATGGTAACAGAGAGCAACCTGATGTGAGCAGTGCAATGCACACTCCACAGTAGTGCTGGGAACTGTGTAGTTTGTACAGTGCCATAACATGGAGCCGTAGGCGCCCAGTCTGGCTGGCCAGGAACCAGCTCAGTCCTGCAGCTAGGAGGAGGCAGAGCCAGCGCTGCGGCGCCCCCTCGTGGAGGAAATGGAGACTGCAGCTGAGAGCACAGCCCAGGGAGAACTGGCACTGGACAAGCAGCTGCTGTAGGAACCGACTGGACTCCTGCAGATTCAGAGAGCAGGAGGAATATTAAATTAGAGGTGAATCAAGGCTGATGAATGGGAGATGTGAGAGAGATTTTCATAATTCTAAGTGATATTTATGTTATTATCATGCAAGCGCCTCACTGGTCCAGCTGTGACCCAAGCTGACACTGCTCTGAGGGAGAACTCTAGAACCACCAGGGAGGCAACCCGAGAGCCCACTACAGCCAGCATCACTGACAGGAACAAGAACTGGAGAGTTCCACTCAGCCCAATTTTAGCACTGGCTTGATGCCTTGGTGTCTTCTGCATAGATGTCTCTTTACTTCTGCTTTTGTTGCTTGAACTGAGTAGAGAAAGTATTCATTTCAAGGCAGTGAAATACAAAAACAATGATTTCTAAGGATACATTGATTACTATTGACAATGTAAATCGTATCACAGTCTTTGTTCATAGTGACGAAATCAAGCACAATATTCAATAGCACAAATTATTAAAACTGTACATCAAGAGGCCTTAGTTGGTGAAAGGTTAGTTATCTACATCCACATCTTCTATATGTGTTTTTAAGTGTCCCTGTCTATTACATGGTAATTGCATTCAGATTATAATTATAGGGCAAGAGGAGGTATAGCAACAATCAATTAGTTTGTTTATTTATCAAATGCTATTACAACTAACAATGTAGCCTAACCTACATACTGAAGTTGCCTAACTACCATGTCATTAAAAAGGTATGATAGGCTACACTTCTTGTTATTGAGACCCAAGTGAAATCATATCTTCCCATGTCATATTTTGGGAGGTGTCCACATGTGTATACGTTTCTCACCTTTCAGCCTCTAAGAATAAGTGTACTCTCAACAGGTTACAGAGAACAGAGATCCCACATGCACCGACAAGTCCTGTATGTCACACAAAACATTTGGTCACCTGTCATCAACAAAATTGTATTATAAAATATGGTTCTTAAAATAAACGTACAGCATGAGTGGCAACCTGCAAACAGGCATTCCGCACAAACCAAGAAAGGAGAAGGCCGTTTTACCCGGAGTAGCCTAGAACGACACAAAAATCTCACCTTGGAGTAGATTGTCCAGGGGGTTTGCATCCAGCGTCAGCCATCCAGGTAAACTCGGAAGAAACGAAGTAATGAAAGATAACATTTTCGTTAAATCGCTAGAATATTAGCCTAATGATTCCCTATAGCTATAGCTAGTTTCGATATCAAACCTATTGCCGGTTTACACCCTATGCTGTGCACATGACCAATACATTTTGATTTGAAATGATACGCTAATTTCAGAAATAGGTCATTTCATTGCAACAATTATATTTCGATAAAAGATAAGACCATGCCAGGTGGTCAATTTACAGAATACTTAAATAATTTCAAAGTATAAATTACGACCTCTTTGTCTGTTTACTTCTCTATGATTAAATAACTAAGTATCATTGTTGATCAGTCATTGTGCTGTTCAAAGGTCAGTCATGGGCAGTCATTCCCAACTGTGTGTCACGTTCGTTGTGTAAAGGATCGGACCAAGGTGCAGCGTGGTATGCATACATAGTCGTTTATTTTAATAAACACCGACAAAATAACCAAATCCAACAGAATGTGAAGTTCAAGAGGCTAACATCAAATAAGCCAAACAGAAACAAGATCCCACAACTAAGGTAGGCAACATGGCTGCCTAAGTATGATCCCCAATCAGACAATGACCGACAGCTGCCTCTGATTGGGAACCACTACATCCTCGGATGTAAACTCATCTCCCATCCTGCCTCCCCTTTGCACACCCGGTCCGGTCTGGACCCTGGCGCGATGCTCCCCCTCTCAGTCCTCCCACAATGCACCAAGCCCTGTCTGGACCCTGGTGTGGGAGCCCTCGACCCTGGAGAGGGGCTGACGTCTGGTCCCGGCCCAGCAGTCCTCCCGCGATGCACCATGTCCTGTCTGGACCCTGGTGTGGGAGACCCCGACCCTGGAGAGGGGTTGACATCTGGCTCCGGCTCGGACACTGGTGGAGCGGATGGCTCCGGCATGGGGGAAGAGTAGACGACCGGACCCGGACTGGGCACCGGTGAAGCGGACTGCCCCGGCTCTGGTAGGGAGCAGATAACCGGAGCTGGACTAGGCACCGGTGGAGTGCGAGGAGCAGGCACAGGCCCTACCGGGCTGGAGACACAGACCACTGGTTTGATGGGAGGAGCAGGCACGGGCCGTACCAGGCTGGGGACACGCACCACTGGTTTGGTGCGAGGAGCAGGTACGGGCCGTACCGGACTGGAGACACGCACCACTGGTTTGGTGCTAGGAGCAGGTTCGGGGCGCACCGGGCTGGAGACACGCACCACTGGTTTGATGCGAGGAGCAGGCACGGGCCGTACCAGGCTGGGGACACGCACCACTGGTTTGGTGCGAGGAGCAGGTACGGGGCGCACCGGGCTGGAGACACGCACCACTGGTTTGGTGCAAGGAGCAGGCACGGGCCGTACCGGTCTGTGAAGGCACACTGGCGGCACAATGCGTAAAGCCGGCGCATAGCCTGGTGCCTGCACGGTCACACGCTCCTCAAAGCGAGTGCGGGGAGTTGGCTCTGCTAAACCTGGCTCCGCCAGCCTCTGCTCTAAGGACCGAGCTCTCTGCTGCTGGAGGGTTAACTCCTCTCTCAGCTCCTCCTGTTGCCTGGCCAGATCCTCTCTCCGTGCATCCACTGACTCCTTCTCCCTCTGGGCCTCCTGCAGAAGGGAGAGCTCCTGCTCCCTCTTAACTAACAGCTCCTGTAAGGTGGTGGCCTCCTCTCTCAGAGTGCTGAGCTGCAGGTCTTTAGCTGCTTGGAGGGCCTCCATCTTCAGAGTGGCCTCCTCCATAGCTCTCTCCTCCTTCACAGTCAGCCCTTTCAGGGCCTCCTGCTGCGTCGCCAACCACCCCGTGTGCCCCCCCCAAAAAAAATGTTTATTGGGGCTGCCTCTCGGGCTTCCTTTGTGATCGGGACCTTTTGAGTCGCCGTTTGTTCTCCCTCGCTGCCTCCGTCTGCTCCCAAGGAAGGCGATCCATACCTGCCTGGATCTCTTCCCACGTCCATGATCCTTTTCCGTATAATATCTCCTCCATCATGTCCATGATGTCTGCTCCTCCTGTTCACGCTGCTTGGTCCGTTGGTGGTGGGATCTTCTGTCACGTTCGTTGTGTAAAGGATCGGACCAAGGTGCAGCGTGGTATGCGTACATAGTTGTTTATTTTAATAAACACCGACAAAATAACAAAATCCAACAGAATGTGAAGTTCAAGAGGCTAAACATCAAACAAGCCAAACAGAAACAAGATCCCACAACTAAGGTAGGCAACATGGCTGCCTAAGTATGATCCCCAATCAGAGACAACGACCGACAGCTGCCTCTGATTGGGAATCACACCCGGCCAACATAGAAATATATAAATTAGATTTCACACCCTGACCAATCCAACTAGAGATCTCAATGTCAGGGCGTGACACTGTGAGACAAACCTTTATGGGAAATTCTTTAAAAAAGGTGTCTTTAAATAAAGATAACGTTAAATTGTTGTAGAAACAACTAATGTATTTACTCTACAACCAAAAATGTGTGACAAAAATACACCTTAAATGTAAAAGTAAAATTTTAATAAAATAAACCTTCACTAGAGAAAATAGCGTAAATAATGTGTTGGAGGTACAAAAAACTCACTACTGTAATTCGCGCTGTATAAGAGTGTCTGCTCAATTACTGAAAAGGTTAGTATCAGAAGTCCGGTGATTGTCTCAGTGCCATAACTAAGTCGCCTATATCAAACAGGCAAAGCTTCAATACATGACTAAAATAGAATCCTACTACACCGGCTCTGTCGCTCATCAGATGTGGCAAGGCTTGCAAACTATCACTGATTACAAAGGGTACCCAGCCGTGAGCTGCCCAGTGACACTAGCCTACCAGATTAGCTAAATGTCTTCTATGAGCTCACATCTGTAGCCATGAAATGCTTTGAAAGGCTGGTTGGTCATGGCTCACAACACCATCATCCCAGACACCATGTACCCACTCCAATTCGCTTACTGCCCCAACAGATCCACAGATGATGCAATCTCTATTGCACTCCACACTGCCCTTTCCCACTTGGACAAAAGGAACACCTACTGTACGTGAGAATGCTGTTTATTGACTAGAGCTCATTACCTGTCACGACTTCCACCGAGGCTGCCTCCCCTCCTTGTTCGGGCAGGCTTCGGCGTTCGTCGTCACCGGCTTACTAACCACTGCTGCTCCCATTATCATCACTCCACTTGTCTTGTCTTGTTAATCACACACACCTGGTTCTCATCCCCTCATTAGTCTGTGTATAAGTGTTCCCTCTGCTCCCTTGTCTGTGTGGGTGATTGTTCCATGTGAGAGTAGAGTAGCTCGGTTATTGTATTGCCGGGGTAGATATTATTTTCCCCTATGCTTGTATATCGCTTGGAGTATTTCCGTACCGTGATTGCCAGGGTAGAGAGTTTCCCCTGTGCTGATGTTTGTATGTCGCTATCCAGCGCAACTGTGATGGAAAGGAATAAACGTTGTATTCGGTGATTTACCCTCCTGCGCCTGACTCCTTCTATCACACTCATCACAGAATCACCCACCCGCTATGGAGTCAGCGGAAGAAGAGCGCATGCATGGAGTCGTGGCACGGGTCCAGGAACATTCCACGATGCTGGCCAGCTTGGGAGAAGCGATGGATCGGGTTCTTCAGGTCGTCCAACGCCTGGAGAGGACCCGATCGGTCGAGACCAGTGGTCAATCGGATCCAGCCACCTACACCCCAACACCTGGAGGGATCCAGATATCCCGACCACAGGAGTTCGATGGGACGGCGGCGCTCTGCCAAGGATTTATCCTTCAACTGGAACGGGAGAAGGTGTCCGTCCTCGTTTCCTGCCTCACGGGGAAAGCCCTGGAATGGGCCAACGCGGTGTGGAACAAAGCAGGAGCCGCGTTGGTGAACTACAGGGAGTTCGCTCGCCTCTTTCGGGCGGTCTTCGATCACCCACCCGAGGGTCGAGAGGTGGGTGAGCGGCGGGTCCACCTGAGGCAGGGGACGAGGACCGCGCAGGACTTCGCGTTGGAGTTTCGGACTCTGGCAGCGGGGTCCGGGTGGAACGAGCGGGCCCTGATTGACCATTTCCGGTGCCATCTGCGAGAGGATGTCCGACGGGAGCTAGCCTGCCGGGACACCATGTTATCCTTTACGCAACTGGTGGACATGGCCATCCAGCTGGACAACCTGCTGGCAGCCAGAGGACGTCCTGGTAGGGGTCTGCCCGTTTCCACCCCGGAGGACTCGGAGGCCGAGTTGATGGAGCTGGGTGGACCCGCCGTCCGAGAGAGCGGAAGACGACAGCGACAGTGCCACTCTGGTGGCACGAAGGGACAGTCCAATACACGTAGTCATCAACGCTCTTTTGGTTCTGGAGGCGGCAGGCCGGGCACTCTCGCATCACCCCAGGTATCGAACACCCACACTCGTTCAGAGCCCTCTGCTGCGCACTGTACCCTACCTATCTCCTTTCCCGATCACATGGTAGTTCCCCAGTGTAAGGCACTAGTCGATTCAGGCGCAGCTGGGAACTTTATGGAGAGGGCATTCTCACGTCGTCAAGGCATTTTGTTGGTTCCCCTATCCATTCCACTCCCCATTAGAGCACTTGATAGTCGACCATTAGGGTCCGGGTTGGTAAAGGAGGTTACTGTACCAGTCACCATGATCACCCAGGAGACTCATTGGGAGCAGATCACTTTTTCAATTATTGAGTCTCCTGCTTACCCTGTAGTATTAGGTATCCCGTGGCTAGCCCTTCACAACCCCACTTTCTCATGGCCACAGAGGGTTCTTACGGGGTGGTCGCGAGAGTGTCAGGGTAGGTGTCTAGGTGTTTCCGTTGGTGCAACCACGGTGGAAAGTCCAGACGGTACCTCCACCGTGCGCATTCCCCCCCGAATACCATGATCTGGCGCTCGCGTTTTCAAAGGCGCAGGCGACTAAATTACATTTACATCGGGCGGGGGATTGTGTGATAAACCTTCGGGTAGACATGTGTATCCCCTGTCGCAGGCTGAAACGGAGGCTATGGAAACATACGTCACCGAGTCCCTGGGCCAGGGGTATATACGTCCCTTCACTTCACCTGCTTCCTCACGTTTCTTCTTTGTGAAGAAGACAGATGGCGGTCTACGCCCGTGCATTGATTATCGATCACTGAACAAGGCGACGATAAGATTGAGTTATCCTCTCCCCCTTATTCCTTCAGTGATTGCATGGGGCCGGCTTCTTCACCAAATTAGATCTCAGGAGTGCCTACAACCTGGTGCGTATTCGGGAGGGGGATGAGTGGAAGACAGCATTCAGCACAACCTCGGGGCTTTATGAATACCTGGTGATGCCCTACGGTTTGATGAATGCTCCATCCGTCTTCCAGTCCTTTGTGAACGAGGTGTTTCGGGACA